TGATCTTTCTGGTGAACATATAAATCCCCTTGAATGATGCAGTTCACCTGCCTGCTGCAATTGGAGGCTGATTTACTCCTTTGTTGAATAGTAGCACAGGCTCCTAGCTGCCTGGATAGGAGTATGCAGGCCTGAGGGAAGGAAATAGGAATGTAAAATGTGAATGTTTGCGAAACCATAGAAGAGCGTTGAGATCCTCACCTTCTAATTTTGTCTGGCATATTGGCAGAAGATTGCATCTCTTAGTGAGGTGCATCCTACTTAACAAGCATTTTGATCAAATGGTCCTTTGCTGAATCCAGTAGTTAGTCTAGATAGCCTTCCTGCATAGCCTCTCTCTGGGTGTGTTCACACAGGTCCTTCCAACACCACCTATGCAGCATCTCCAGCTTCTGGAGAGCTCATCACAGCATCTCCTGGGATAACATCTACAGCAGCCAACAGATGGACCCCGGGAGCCACTTCGATTCCAGAAGGCCAAGGGTCAGAATGGGACAGAATAGCTCCAACTACAGCCAACAGATGGACCCCAGGAGTCACCCCAATTCCAGAAGGCCAAGGGTCAGAGTGGGACAGAACAGCTCGAACTACAGCCAACAGATGGACCCCAGGAGTTACCCCAATTCCAGAAGGCCAAGGGTCAGAATGGGACAGAACAGCTCGAACTACAGCCAACAGACAGACCCTAGGAGTCTCCCCAATTCCAGATGGCCAAGGGTCAGAGTGGGACAGAACAGCTCCAACTACAGCCAACAGATGGACCCCAGGAGTCACCCCGATTCTAGATGGTCAAGGGTCAGAATGGGACAGAACAGCTACAGCTACAGCCAATAGATGGACCCCGGAAGTCACCCCAATTCCAGAAGGCCAAGGTTCAGAATGGAACAGAACAGCTCCCACTACAGCCAATAGATGGACCCCAGAAGTCACCCTGATTCTAGAAGCGCAAGGCTCACAGTGGGACAGAACAGCTCTAACTTCAAGAATAAGGAGAACTACAGCTTTACCCAATGGGAGACAAACCCCAAGAACAGCCAGGACGACGGTTCCGAGGACACACAGCAGAGAAGAGGGCTCTATCAAGACAGCAGTCCCCACTCCAGAGAGCCCAGCTTCAAAATCAAGAAGCATGTTCAGCACAACACCGGGTGTTAGGCTATGGGGTACCAGAAACTCAGAAACTCAAACAACTAGTGCTAGCACCAGTGAGGGCTGGGGGAAGGGTCCGACTCCAGAGGCTGATGGGCCTCAGGAGGAAACAGAGATCAGCGTGTCTCCAGGAGCACTCAGGAAGACCACAGGAACCACCGGGCCATCAGTCCTGATCTCAGAGCATGTGACCTGGGAAGCTCTCCATGAAGCAAGAGAGGATTCTAAGCAACAAGCACAGTACTCTGTGGAAGAGTCATCCCCCGCTCCAAGTGCATGGATGTTGAATACTACGCATGTGCCATTGCCATCTGGAAACACTGATGGGAATCTAGAAAACACTGATGGAGAAAATAGCCCCCCAACACCAAGCCAGCTTTCATCAGGAGGCCCTAGGTGGGCCCCTGGCCAAGGGTCATCCATGAAGAGGTAAGCGTTGGGCCCCTCCTCTGACCTGGAGCCCCAAGTCTGCCTTGTTTCCTGGCCAGCCCTTCCTTCTGTGGCCCTCTCTCCCTTTGTATCTACAAATCATAAAGGAAGGAATGGGACACATAAGCCCCAGCTGCCATCCATCTCCACACTTCAGTGCCCATGCTATGATAACGCTATCTGGATGCTTTCTGGTGGTCCGCAAGCAAAAACCTAAATGATGTGATGAAATAAATCTTTGGGCTGAAACCCTTGGAACTCTCTATTTCATGAGAGGACCAGAACTCCAGAGAAGGGAAGTAACTTGCTGAAGACCCACAGAAAAGTTGTGACAGGGCCGAATGCCAAGGCCAACCTCCTGGCTCTCACTCACCCTCTTTCTCAGTATGGCACGTGGTGGCCCGTGCATGAGAGGGTGGAGGGAAGCCTAGGACTGAGGAGCTGAAGAGAGCAGATCTGCTGGGAGCCAGTTACAGGGACAAGGGTGGCCTGGGACTCCGCTCGTCCACCTGTGAAATGAGAGGGGGGGGGTACCAGTCTTGATCGTCATCTAGCTCCGACCTCCCTGGTCCGTGCTCTCCTCGCCCTGACCATGACTCCTCCCCCCTTCAGTGCTCTTACAGGAGGAGAAAGCAACTCTTGGATCCTGACTCCAGTCTCCACTGTGCTGGCCCTGGTTCTGCTTGCGGCTCTGGTCCTACTGAAAAGGAGACCCTGGAGAGAGAGGGCCTGTGAGTTGAGCCTAAGTAACCCCAAAGCTGGGGAGAGGAATGGTCCTTTCCACCTGATACCCTCAGGGCTGGGTCCAGTTAGAGTGAGTGTCCAGAGTAGAAAAGGTAAATTCTACCCTGAACCATTGAACTATGCTTCGTTGTGGCTTTTTAAAATTCCCTCTACCCTTGTGCCTCAGAGGCGTTCCTGGGCTTAAGGAGATCACTGCGGGATGACAAGAACGATTAACCATAGGTATGGAGCCACACTGGCAAACTTTCTGCACAGCTCCCATTGTAACGTTCCAGGGATACAGACTCCTAATGTAAGTGCTCCACGTGAGTGCTGCAGGGTGTGTGGTCTTGGTGAAAAGAGATTGACACTTTCCGGGAGGCAGCAGGAGAAGCTGAGGTTCCCAGGGACAGGGATCAAATCATCTGGACCAATTGTCACTATTCTAATGGGCCCAGCTACCAGACTTCTGTCTTAGAAATTCCCAGAAACTTGGCTCTCGTTCTTAGGAAGGCAAATCTGTATGTCTGCCCCAGAATACTCACAGCCTTCTCTGTGTCTCTACAGCTCAGGAGGCAGAAAGGCCACCAAGGATCACTCTAATTCAGATGACACATTTCCTACCAGACAAGCTCCCTGCTGTGGGAAAGAACTTGCAGCAAGGTGACCTTCCTTCTGTCCAAGCCAGCCTGACTGTCCTGGAGAAGGACCCAGGACCCTGAGGATGCAAAGATAAACAGCTCAGTCACCATGGGAGGACCAAGACCAAATATCTCCACGGCTTTTTCATCCCCTTTTCACCTTCACCCGCATGAAGACTAGCTTTACTGAGCTCAGCCTCTATCTGGGGACACGGGGGTCAGGCACTCTCTGCAGCCAAAGGTACAATGATTCAAAGAAGG